TCACGCCACTCCCCCCCCCACGTCACACCACTCCCCCCCCCCTCCCGCGTCCCGATATTTGACTTGGGTGATCTGGTCATCCTAGATATAATTACTAGGAAAGATTAAAAGAGTTAGACCCATATACCCACATCTTAGCAAAGTGATTATTTAGAGACGAACATAAGTCTACAGATATTAGAGGACTGCAAGCACCAAGGAGGGGGAGGAGTTATTTAGGGTGGCATTACCAGAAATAGGATGAAGTTTAGAAAGGAGGAGAAATTAGCCTGAATGTCAGCAAATCTTTTTGACAGTGAAATGTGTTCCCACGGGAAGTGGTGAAAACTCTATTGTGCAGGACATTTAAAACTAGATTGAACAAAAACCCTAGAAGAACATTCTGTAGAGAACAATCCTACAGTGGCAGGTACATGGACTACTAGATCATTTAAAGTATCAGGACTTTTCCATCTATAACTTCTGATTTTATAAGTCTCATTGCAATGATCAGTTGGTGAGGTTGTGAATAATTGCTGTTCTAATGGCTGAAGGCTGGGAACTGCTAACAGTGATGTTTTAGGTATTTATATTATATTATCATAAATGGCTACAGGTTATTTGGTTCAGCAACAGGGCAGCAGGTATGAAATGTGATCTTGTTGACCAAATAAGGAACTCTAAGCTCTCTTCTAGTTCATCTTGAACAGGAATCCAAGGTAAAGGGGATTTTCTTGCACACATGACAGAATAAGGAGGATATGTCCACATCATGAATGCAAGAAATGCAGGATTCAGAGATTGTTTGGGGGGAACTAGGATTATCAATTGCACCATTTATTTTATTGGTATGAGTTCTGAATGAGCCATGGCTACATCTGGAAATTGTACAAAACAATGCCCACTAGTACAACAACTGGTTGACACTGGATGGGGGTCTATTGTAGACAAAATGCTGGCAGCTTTCAGAGTCTATACAGGTCTCTCTCATCTGACGCGGGGGTTCCGTTCCGCGGTTAGTGCGTAAAGTGAAAACCGCGTATAGCCAAAACCCCATTGAGTTCAATGGCGGGCAAAATCGCCCACACCACAGGTATAGTATTAAAATTGTTGTTTTTCTCTTTTTTTGTTGTTTTTGCCGACCATGTAAAGTTGAAATCACGCATGTTAAATGCGTGTGAGATGCGACAGACCTGTATAACCATTGTCCGGTAGTTGAACATGCTGAAAAGCAGGTAGTTAACTGGTCTGGCAAAACTCATCTCCACTAGGATGCTTAGTCTGGTACCTGGCAGGAATCTTATATAATACTTCCTAGTTTAGGTAAAGCTATAGTACTTGATTTGGGTGGGGTTGGACACAGCAACCTTGATAGTGTCTCTTTTACTATCATGTACCGTTGCTGAGCATACACTGCAAAGTCCCTTCAACTTTCCCTAAAGCAACCCTTGTATCACAAATCTGATAGAAACAGGCACAAAGGGGTAAGGTCAAGAGAGTGTAATAGATCTATAACATTCCTACGTAACTCATCTGAGCTCCCCAATAAATCTACCAACACACTTGGCTGAGAGCCTGGTGAATCAAAGTCCACTCAGTCTCCCAGCTACACTGTTACTGCTACATATCCCCGGATGGACTTAACAAATGACTCATGGAGCATGGTTCATGTTTCTAGCCTTTTTTTTTCCCCCCGGTAAAAATCCAAATTAATGTTTCCATGTACTGTATGTATTTTTTCAAATCAATTATTGTGAATTTAATAAATGCCAATGGATTATTAAAACATAACCAGCAAGGCATTAACTACCCTATTAGATACTTGACCATATGTACTTTCTGTTAGAGGATGGTAATTCATATCTAAAATAACTATGAAGCTAAGAACCTTAATAAAACAAAAACATTTATCTAAAAATCAAGAGGACATTCCTGCCCATAAATATTGGGTCTAAAACCTACAAGTGTCTTTTTAAGGTACAAAGGCAGAAAAACAACTGCTTTGCAAACAAGCCCTTATCAGTAATACATCAAACACAGTATATCTGAACAGCACAGACCACTAGATACAAAAGGAGGATTGTTAATCCAGCAGCATTCTGAGCTACATAACCTCAATTAAAAATTCAGTGCAATGCGCCAGCTTTTGCTGGTAGTATATTGGTAACATGCACATGCTGGCACTCAGGAGCTTCCTGGCCTCAAATCAGAATAGTTCTCAATTAAAACAAACCCTCTTTCCAACTACAAGCTGACCCCCTCTCTTCTTTTTGTCTTTCCACCCTTTGGCCGTTGTGGGACACAGGAGCCCCAGGTTTCAGACATGAATTAAGAAGCAGTTCAATTTAGGAACCATTCCAACGTGAAGATTCCCCCTTCCCCCACCTAGAGGGTGTGGTTTAGTTTCATCTCCTCTAATCAGCATGCAATGGATATGCAGACGCTTGATTAGGAAGCTGATTCCAATGTAGATTTATATTAATGAGGGGATCCACCTTGAAGCTTTCTTTTCTTATCACTGGGAGGGGAACAGAATAGGGTGGAGTAATTAGATATTATAAAGAGTTATGCATTTAGATTAATAGATTTATTTTTAAACTGCAGCAGCCCTGTGCATGCCTATTTTAAGTTAAGTTTCTTAGCATTTTTTTTTAAACTATGTTGCATATTGGTATGTTAAGCAAATCAAACCATGGTCTGACATGTTATGTCCTTTGCCCAGATGTAGATACTATTTGAACAGAATTATTTTGACAGTAAAGCATTAACCTCATCAAGATTATTCAAGGGACAAAATTAAATTGGTTAAAATAACCTGTCGGTAATTAAGGCTATTCTTCATTTATAACAGCCATAGGAACAACAGTTCTTTAGCAAAACAGCAGAATGTGGCCCTTCCCCAAAGCTCCTGGTTTTCTGGGGTGAAGTATGAAACAGTTTATCAATATGTCATATAGCACTTAATCTACACAGAGCCTACTCTATTGAGAGAAACCTAAGTGCAGTAACCCTGCTGTGTTAGCCTTTCTTCCCTTTGTAGGAAGGGTCGGGGAACATGGAGTTACTTTCTGACAGCAGCCAAATTCCTCCCACATGAGAGTAAAACCTACAAACATCATCAGGGTAAAAAATTATGCTGTTGCTCTCACAATGAGTTCTGTATTTTGCTTGCAGGCAAGTGCCATAATGGAAAACTACTAACAGACATTAATGCGTCCATCCACACAACACATACAGTATCCCAAGTGGTTTATCCTCTGTGTCCACACTCCTGATACCTATTTTAAATCCAATATAATCCAAGGTTTCTGAGTTTCCAGATCATTTTGGATGTTTATCAGCTTGATACGATCACTATATCTGTTCCTCCTCCACTAAGTAGGCTGTAAAAGAACCAATATGTACAAAGAACAGCCTCTGCCTTTTAGGGAGAAAAATATATATTTCATTTTCCTATTTTCATCCTCCCAAGCTTCCCCAGTCCAGTACATTTCAATGAAGTTTTGAAGGTGTGTCTCTATATTTGACCCTCAATGTTTCATTTTATAAAACAACAAATGTAATCAGCAAGTACTTTGGCAGCTACTATTAGCAAAGACCATACCCCGAGAATATGTGGTGAGAGTATTAAGAGGAGGCAGCAGAACCGAACATAATTTACTAACATTTTTAGCCACGTTTAAAATATATACACACACACATTATCCTCCTGATTTAATTTCTGATTTTTCAGCTGCTTCATATAGTGACTTGCTTTTCTATAATACACATATGTGTATCAATTAAATACCATTTTCTTTCTATGCTCAAAACACATTTCACTCTATTTGAAATCACAGGTTGAGAGGGACCAAAGCAGCAGAATTTCTCTAGTCCAGAAGGGTTGGACTCCTGTTTCCCTCACTCCCTCCAGAGTACTATGAGAAGGGTAGTTAAGACTTGTGCAGGTATGGCACTCCAGAGGCTGGACATGTGTGCTGTGCTAGCAATGGCTGGCATTTATCAACATACTCATCAGAGGGTAAAGAGGTTGGCGACTTCAAGGAGCCTCATGTAGGTCACAAATAGTACTGGTGGGGAGCCAGCAATAAAGGAGAGAAGGCATGCAAAGTGCCAGATCTGTTCACTTGATTTTAAAAGACCCCATCAGCTTTCCTTTTTCATTTACTTCCTTGTGAGTCCCTCATCCAGTTGCTTAATGTTGGACTGACAAGGAAGCCTGTTCAAAGCCACCAGAGGCAGATAAGGCCTGGTTTTCTGTGTAACTATTAAACGGGAAACGCTGTTAATGCTAGTCCTGCAAACACCAACCTGTCCTGAACCCCCCATTAACCAGCCACACAAGGGGGACAATTGGACCCTTCTTAAGTGAGGAAAGGGGTCATTTTGCTAATGGCCATTGGTAGAGGCAAAGTTATTTTGCTAATAAAGATGGCACCAATTTACAGCTGTCAAATATTGGCAGGGATAACTGGGGTGGTTGGAGTAGGGTGAGCTCAGGCATGTGACCTGGACTCTGACGCCCCATTGCAAACACTTACAGTAGTCCATGAGGGACTGGCATTGCCAGTTGAGGTCATTGTCCCACCGGGTGCAGCTCTCCCATAATGACGCTTGGTGCTGGTAGGGCGCGGACTCCGATTCCAGCCAGCCCCGGCCGGACAGTGCAATGATGCCCAAGATGATAGCTAAGCCCAGGAGAAGGGGCAGAAGCCACCTGCATCTCCAGCAGGCAAGGGTACACGTCGCCATCTCATGCAGCAGTCAGGGCCTTCAGCAGATAATGGGTGCACAAGCCTGAGAGCTCTTTCTGGATTCTGCAGGGTGGGGTGTTTTGAGAGAGAGAGTGTGTGTGAGAGAGAGAGAGCTGCTTTTTAATCAGCAGAAAGGCACTAAGGGAGGAGAGAGCCCCACCTAGATTCCAGTGACTAAGAGCCGCAGCAGCAACCTGTTGAGCCAGAGAGGAGCTGCGGGGCGGGCTCAACTGCCTTGCTGCTCTGTTCCTTTTCCCTGGCTGCTAAACAAACCATGGTTCCAATTACACTCCCTAGTCTAGGCACTTAACCCTTTCCTGCCCAGCGTAAAATGCACCTCACACGTTCACAAGTCCTTTTTTCAGTACAAGAAGATTCAGGGCTGCCCTAGGCTGTGAGAAAGTGAGATTTCATAAAATATGCGATATTTAAAATCTCATTGAAAGGCACTACAAAAAGCATTCTGTAGTGGTGCTGATCAAAATGTTTGATGTAAAAAATATTTACTATAAAACCTTTTTTGGGGGGTCAGTGAATCAGCCACAAACTGATCCTGAATTTCTTTTAACATTGTCATTATTCATAATTATTTCCCATAATTATTTCAAGTATTAGTTTCCAACCTGCAAATGGGATCATGAACTGATCACTTTAACTCTTCACTGTGTTCATGCTATGTCGTAGCTTGTACCTGGTTACTTAAGTCTAACAGATCTCCTTCAGTCCCCACATATCAGGCTGTCTCTTTAACATCTCCTTGTGGCTGTCCTGTTGGCAGTTGCAACTAAACATGGCTAAAACTAAGATCCTGAATTTATCTCCCACGCTTTTCTCTCTTCCCTCATTCTTGATAATTTACTATCCCTTCTGTTGCTTACACACAGAGTCTGAGCACTGAAAACAGGTCAGTTATCAAAAATTGATGATATTAATTATGAGCTACCAAAAACTGATATTATTAATATGTTAATCATCTCATGTATTGAAGGCTTAAAACCTGTTGTTATTGAATTAAAATGTGTGACTTCTCACCAAATTTTGAGATAGCAAAAATGCAAATTAGGGGTAAAAACTGTCTTTAGAATGGAAGTGAGAAATTATTAACAAAGAAATCTGCTTGTTTTAACTATAGCTTACCTGCTATTACGGTCAGCATTATGCCAGGTGCCTGTATGTTGACTGACATTAAATAAATGATTTATTGGAATATATGGCCAGAAAAATTAAGTCAGCATCCGGCCCCAGAATTTTTAGAATTTGCAAGGACTTGTGACGTGGTAACACCAAACAGCTTATAAAGTATTGCTCTTTTTCCTAAAGTCCTTTTTTAAAGGACTCCACTGGCAAACTCGGGAAAGAAAATACAGCTGTTCATACCAATTTCAATGAAACCTGAATGAAAGAGGTGGCTCAGTTAATAAAGTTATTAAGTTTGCTTCCCATAATGTATGTAATTTGTTCTTTAAAATAGCTCTAAGTCATTATCTGCATATTTGATGCTTAGTATGTGACATATTTGTTAGTGTATAAGGTGTGGCTATGAATTATTGTTACCTAGAAGGTACTTTTGAACTAAATTGATACTTTTAATTATTAAATAAATTCTTAAATTTGAAATTGTATTGGGTTGAATTGATGGACAATCCCACCATTTAATTAACACATAAAGCTTATAATTGGCATGTCAAGTTTGATTGGCAAATTAATGAAGGATTTGTTTTAAGGTCCATTGTTCTATACTGGTACTGAAAATGCAGAAAAAATACAGTATATTTACCACTGTGTGTTAAGATTTATTGTGAAAATATATTGGTTTGTTGATTTGACATAGATTTTTGTATAAAGTTTTAGTATTTGATGTCAAAATCATTTGTTTAGAAATTATGAACACTATTATCTAATCAACTTTATTTTTCATTCTGTAATTTCTAATATTACCATACATATTATTTTGATTAATAAAATATATAAACTTATAAGAATTCTTAAAGTCAACTGAGATACAAACAACGTCAAGAAGTGTAAGATGGGTAAGTGATTAATTGAACATTTCTTATCGAATATACATTTGATACCATGCGTCACGTATCTTGCCCATATTTTTGAATGATCTCTCTCTATGGATCCTCACATCAAGGCTACATCCAAATATTGCTACTTATTCCTTTATAACATATCCTGTTTTCTGTCTGCTCCAGACTGCCAAAGCTCTCATCCAGGCCCTTGTCATATTGCATCTTGACTACTTTAATTTTCTCTTCTTCAGCCTTGACTATTGCTACCATGCCCCTGCAATTTCATCCAAAGTGATGCTCTCAAATTCTTCGTAATCCTGTTGTTCAGATTCCATCCCTTTTTCACATAAACAATAAAATATAGGGCGTAAATTGAATGTACATGTAACTCCTCACTGGGGATTGCATAAGGTATACATAAGGGTAGAATATGGCCCCATGAGTACCTGTTTGGGTTTTTTTGGTTTTTGGGGAGGGGGAGGGAGAGCTTCTGTAGAAAGTGTAACCAGTGCCAGTTTAGAAGTGATAGCTCAGTGTAGGGTTACCATACGTCCGGATTTTCCTGGACATGTCCGGCTTTTTGGTCCTCAAATCCCCGTCCGGGGGGAATTGCCAAAAAGCCGAACATGTCCAGGAAAATGCCGGCATCCCTGCCCCAGTCCCCTGCTTACCTGAGCTGCTCCGGCAGGCTGCGAGCTGCAGGCGGATTCCCCGCTGCGGCGGCGGCTGCTGCTGCTCCCCCCAGACACCTCAGCTCTGTGCAGCTGAAGAGCCGAGCTGCCTGAGCGCTACCAGCTTCACAGTTTGCCGGGCAGCCCCCAGACCTCCAGACCCACTGCGCCCCTGGCCGGGCGCTTCCCCAACGCAGCCGGAGCCCGGGAGGGGAAGCGCCCGGCTGAGGCGCAGGGTCTGGAGGTCTGGGGGCTGCCCGGCAAACCGTGAAGCCGGTAGCGCTCGGGCAGCTGTTTCGCGTGGCTGGGAGGGAGGAGGGAGGATGCGGGGCGCTCAGAGGAGGGGGAATGCGGGGCGCTCAGGGGAAGGGGCGGAGTTGGGGCGGGGACTTTGGGGAAGGGACGGAGTTGGGGCGGGGAAGGGACGGGGCCAGGGCCCCGTGGAGTGTCCTCTTTTTTAAAACCTTAAATATGGTAACCCTAGCTCAGTGGTTTGAGCATTGGCCAGCTAAACCCAGGGTTGTGAGTTCAATCCTTGAGGGGGCCACTTAGGGATCTGGGGCAAAAATCATTACTTGGTCCTGCTAATGAAGGCAGGGGGCTGGATTCGATGACCTTTCAGGGTCCCTTCCAGTTCTGTGAGATAGGTATATCTCCATATTATATAAGTGCTTGGTTTGTTCAGTGGTGAGATTTCCCAACCCACCCTCATCACTCAAACAAATAAGCTCAGAAGTGGAAACATAGTTTCTTCAAGACTAAAAAGAGATTGTATTGAGTGCAATACAGTAATGGTAAGGGAAGAAGGGAGAATTATGTTAAGATTAAAATATGCTTTGTAAGAGTCACAGATGTGTTGCAGTGAAAGTGTGCCACACAGGCAGAGGTAACTGGATTCTTATGATATCTAAGATTAGAGACTCTAACCCCCAATTCAGGAAGGTATTTTAAGCGTGTGCCTAACTTTAAGCATGTGCATAGTCCCATGAAGTCAATTCATTCAGTGAAGGGATAATTCACATATATAAAGATAGGAACATGCTTTAAGTAGCTTACTATATTGGGGTCTAAAGGGAGTATGGGGAGAGGCAACCCTTGCTACATCTCTTAAAACCACGTAATCTATGTCCATCCCCGACCCCCCAGTGCAGCCATCATAGTGCTGTTCAGTGTATTGCTGGAGACTTGGCCACTCCCCTACCTCACCCAACCATGCCCCTTCTTGTTTCACAACACTGCCATCAGCACTAAACTGGGCTTCTCCTACCCCCCTCCCCAGTGCAACCACACAGAGGTACATGTAAGTTTTCCCTTCATTTTTAAATGAATGACCGTCATTGAAGTCCAGCATATATTTCTCCTGTCACTGCCCTCAAGCCACACTTCCCACTCCTCAGCAGTACTATCCTTTGCACACTAGGAATATCCTTAATCACCCTAAAACTGATACTTTTTTGGGTGGCACAGAGTAGACAAATTTGCCCAAAAAGAAGAATTCCCCTTACGTTTTGCATTGCTTTCTGGACTCTACTTCTGGAAACCTCACTGAGCTGTGGAAAGGAGCTGCCTCACTAAGCTATGTAGAAGAAATACCAGTGACAATCCAGCTGAAGGGAAGCCTCTTGGGAAATCAAAATAAATCCAAAGATAAACTAAAATCTATTGTATATTATCTGTAGCCAAGTGTTCAATGACATATTACTGACCTTTACCTGCCCTCAGTGCTAATGTTCCTGTTATCTAGCACTGAAAAATCTAACACACCAATATGGCAGCCTTAGCAGAGCAGGAAGTTCCATGTGAGTATGGTGCGTCTCTCCTCTCAAAGGTGCGTTGACTGCTTATGCCCGGAGAGCAGAGGGTAGCTATCAACTCTGAGACTTCAAAGAAACAAACCAAAACCTTAGTGATGCATGTGATCATGGGAAAAGAATGCCAAAACCTCTAATGAAGTGGAGCAGCCTTTGCTTAGCTAACCTGCTCAAATGTCTTGGGCATGTGACTCACTTGGGCACAAAACATTCTGGAATAAGATGCTATCTCAGACATGCAGGATTCTGAATTACAACACAAAGTCATCTGTGTTGTAATTAGAGTGAATCTAGACCCTTCTGCCTGAATGGCACCTTTATGTGACAACCATAAACCAGGGAAACCATAAGTAACCCTAAATCCCTTGTTTCTCCTCGCACCTTTAATTATTGAGTATAAAAGGGTTGTATAGCCTTTGTTTCAAATCAGATAATTTCATCATCTTTTTTATTTTGTAGCAATATTTTTTCTGCGCTACACAGCTGGGGCTCTGCCTGCATTTGGCTATTTGATATGTGGTGTAATTTGTGTCGGCAAAACCATATGCTGCCCTGAGCTACAAAGCAAAATTTCCATTTAATAATCACTTCTAGTCTATTTTTTTGAAAGGGCCTAGAGCCTGAACCAAAGCCCATCCAGGTGAATGGGAGTCCTTTCATTAATTTCAGTAGACTTTGGATCAAGTCTTTTTAAAGAGCAGCAACATCAGCCTCATAAAGCCATTATAAAAGCTGGAATACAACTCCTTCCAAGGCTTATACCTAAAGGTTAAATGCTAGTACTTTGAAATATTTCTGTTACACACTTTTAAGTCTATGCAGATTTCTTTCTTATTTGTTTTGATCTCATTTTAAAAGAGGTGGCCACCAACACACAACCACAGGAATGGAGCTTTAGTTGGATTTACAGTGCCTCCTGCTGGATCCTGTTGAGATTGAACATTCTTTGTGGTGACTCGTGGCTTTAAGCTACTGTCTGGCACATTTCACCTTTTATGAATCATTAAGTTAAACAAGTCCAATGTAAACAGGAGTGACTCTGACTTCAGTTACCTCCATAGAGCCTTAGTGACTCAGTGGAGTTGAACGGGTATGAGTGCAAAATTTGTTTCACATCTGGTTTCCAATAAGAAAATATCTGTACTTAAGATATTTTTATTCTTTGTAATTATAATCCATTTTCATTGAGCTGCATACATTTTGAAATCTGTTTCCACTCCACCAGCACTTACCGGTAGCTTACTCCACTGTCACTCTCAATATCTGTCTCTGAGGGTGGTCAGCAATGTTCTATCAAAACTGTTTTTCAATGGCAAATTGTGTTTTTGCCTAAACAGATTTTTTTTCATGATGAGTGTCTGCTTTCCATGGAAAATTTGGATTTAAAAAAAAAACACCTGGAAAACCAAAATATTTTTACTTGGCTATGCCACCGTGATGCCTCCTGCAAGTTGCATCTTGTACCGAGTCTCCTCTCTTGGCAGGCTCCCCAACCAGACTTAATCTCTGTTGACACACCAGAGCCATGGAAATCTTATGTTAGGGTTGCCACCCCCCAGGATTGTCCTGGAGTCTCCAGGAATTAAAGACTAATCTTTAATTAAAGATTATGTCATGTGATGAAACCTCCAGGAATACATCCAACCAAAATTGGCAACCTTATGTGATGTATCACCTTCCCTCACCAAGAGGGGCAACCGTCATGCATCATGGATCTGTAGTCTGACCAGGTAGCCCAGCCTACAAAGGAGAATAGGACCTGAGGCACCTGAACTATAACTTGCATGAGGCACTGTGGTGGCATTCCTGAATCAAATGTTGGTTCTTGATTTTTTGCTGAAAAGGTGACAATTTCTGAGGGACATAAAAAAGCCATTTTCTGACCAGTTCTAGTCAGCAGCCTGCATTTTATTGGATTGGTAAAAGCCACCTGGAGCCAGCTCAACAGAGATTGTCCCCACCCTTAAAACTCAAAAGGGATAGTAGGTAGAACACCCTCTTAGTGCACATGCTGTTCATCTGCTTGCTGTGTAGATGCTATGGCACAGGATTCTGAGATTAGAGGCTCTGCATTTGTAGCTTTCTGGGCTTATGTCAGCATACAGGCCTCTCTGATGCCACAGATATATCGAGTGAAGTCCTGGCCTCATTGAAATCAGTGGCAAAACTACCATTGACCTCACAGGAGCCAGGATTTCACTCAAGGGCTCATTTGAAGACTCTGGTACAGCACATGTAGCTTGATAGGGCTCACGCAGTGAATGTCCAGGGCCTCAGCACAAACTAGTGGCCCATGACTGAGGGTCAGGAAAGTGTCACTGCAGCCTCTACTCCCCTTTTCAGGAAGTTCTTTGGCCATCTTCTTTCCCTACCAAGATGTAAAGAAGGAAAAAACAAGCAAACAGAAGAACTAATTACAACCTTAATCTCCATTTTAAAGATCTTTTTATCTAGAGATTTTTCTTATGCAGGTTGCTAACATAGGTCTGCAAGACCCTAAGAGAGTGGAATAAGAGCTAAGATTTGTCTGGATTACATAGAAAACCTCATGTCCAGGAATGGTACCACAGCACAGGAAGTTGGACGTTATTTCCTACTACTTTTTTAATGTTTTGTTTTTCTTTTAAAAAATGTTAATGTGCCCAAAGCAAAGCCCAACATTTAGTGTAGTAGATTTTTACATAGAAGATGTGTTTACATTTTTGCTTCTGTTCTCTCACAGATAGACAGAAGAGGCTGAAGAATTTCTGTAGAGCAGCTTAATTATTTTTTCAAAATGGCATTTTCACCTTAACATGCATAAACTGGGGGAAGATGCTAATTTTGGAGTGTAATTGATTTATGGAATGTAAGGGATGAATAGAAGCGGGGGATTCAAAGTTTAGGTGTCAGAATCTTACAACCCAACCTGATTCAGAGGGAATAATTTGCTAATACTACCTGATACAATCCTGATAATGACTGGAGACCAATGTTAATCATTAAACATCTCCATAGTCCAAGTGGTTCTCAACCTATTTACCATTGTGGGCTGCATATGCAGCTCTCTATGTTATGTAGACTGCATCCACACAATATATATATTACCTGTATGGCCCTGAGGGTGTCACATGGGCTGAAGCTGTGTGCTGATTGGGCCTCAAGTGTCCTGCAGTCCCGCAGGTTGAGAATCACTGCCATAGTCAATTGTCAATTGTCAAGGCTGAATTCAGAATCAAAACTGCATATTAGTCAGAATTAAGGTACCTCTATTATTATATTATTTTGAAGACAACTGTGACAGCTGATGCATGCAGGCTTTTTGTTCTCTGTTTATACACTGTCTAGCACAACAGAGTCCTGGTCCTAAGTGCTACTTCATTACTACTACTAATAATAATTAATAGCCATTCTCCTTTGAATTTTCATTCCTAGGAGATACAAGAAAGGCTGCCATATGTTACCACTAGAGGGCAGAAGACACTAAAAAATGTTAAGGAATTTTGAGACCCATGTAGGTGCAAATGTTGCCACTCTGCTATAGGCAGTGCCCTACAGTGAAATTCATCCTGTGCAGGCATAGGTGCGGGAACTAGGAGTGCTGGGGGGGCTGCCGCACCCCTGGCTTAACGTGGTTTCCATCATAAACAGGGTTTACAGTTTGGTTCAATGGTTCTCATTACCCCCACTATAAAAATTGTTCCAGCACCCTGATGTGCAGGTCCTTGTGTGGGTCCCCTGGACCCGAGTGAGCTAATGCCTTTCTAAAACCTTGATCCTAACAACACTTATGCATAAGAGTTGCCTCATTTAGTTCAATGGGGCCACTTAGGTTCTTCACGTGCCAAATGTCACCCAGGGATGTAAGTCTTCGCTGTATCAGGGCCTAGGTGTGTCTGGGCCATTTCAACTTCTCTAAACTCAGTTCAGTCTAAGGGTACGTCCAGACTACGCGCCGGATCGGTGGGTAGCGATCGATCTATCGGGAATCGATATATCACGTCTCGTCTAGACGCAATATATCGATCCCCGAACGTGCTCCCGTCAACTCTGGAACTCCACCAGGGCGAGCGGCGGTAGCGGAGTTGACGGGGGAGCCGTCGCCGTGAATCCCACGCCGTGAGGATGGGAGGTAAGTCGAAATAAGATACGTCAACTTCAGCTACGCTATTCCTGTAGCTGAAGTTACATATCTTACATCGACACACCCCCTCCCTCCCCCCCCCAGTGTAGACCACGCCTAAGAATCATCAGGAAAAAAAATCACATCCAGCTGAGACCTGAGAAAAGATCAACCCAGCCCTGAAAATACACAAGAGAGAGAAGAAATATTTGTTAAAAATGAAACAAAAGGTTTATATTTTAAAAAATGTTTTTGAGAAAAGTATTTTAAGAATATTAAAGTGAGAAAAGATTTTAAAATTAATTTTCAAAAAATGACATTAATAGACTAATAGATTTGAAGACCAGAAAGTACCATTAGATCATTAAGTCTGACCTCCTGCATAACATAGGCCATTCAATTTTACTCACTTACCCCTGTATTGTGCCCAATGCATTGTGTTAGGCTAAAGCAGATCTTCCAGTCTTTTGATCCAATGGTTAATTACCCTCATTTTTAAAAAATGTGTGCCTAATTTCTGATTTGAATTAGTCTGGCTTCAGCTTCCAGCCATTGGTTCATGTTCTCCATTAGATTAAAGAACCTTTGAGTACACTCTATTTGCTCTGTAAATAGGGCCGGCTCCAGGGTTTTGGCCGCCCCAAGCAGCCAAAAAAAAAAAAAAGCCGTGATCGCGATCTGCAGCGTCAATTCGGCTGGAGGTCCTTCACTCCGAGGCGTAGTGAGGGACCGTCCACCGAATTGCCACCGAATACCTGGACGTGCCGCCCCTCTCTGGAGCGGCCGCCCCAAGCACCTGCTTGACAAGCTGGTGCCTGGAGCCGGCCCTGTCTGTAAGGCATTTTCTCCAGCTCTTGAATCATTTTTCTGGCTCTCTTCAGCCTCCTCTCCAATTCTTCATCCTTTTAAAACTGTAGATAACAGAACTGGATTCAGTACTGCAGTATCAGTCTCACCAGTGCATATACAGATGTAAAATCACCTCCCTAATATATACTCTTCTGTTTATACATCGAAGGATCGCATTAGCCCATTTTGCCATGACATCGCACTGGGAGCTTAGGTTGATTTGTTTGTCTACTTTGACCCCTAAATCCTTTCCAGAGTCATTGCTTTTCAGGATACAGGCCCCCTTTATAGATCTGGCCTGGATTCCTTGTTCATAAGTGTATGATCCTGTGTTGGACTGTATTAAAATACATATTGTTTGAATGGGCGCAGTTTACCAAGTGATCCACTTCGCTCTGTATGACTGCCCTGTCTTCATCATTATTTTCCACTCTGCCAATTGTTATGTCATCTGCAAATTCTATCAGCAGTGATTTTATATTTACTTCCAGATCATCGATGAAAGCCTGGTCCTGATCCCTGCAGAACTCTATAGAAACTCCCACATGCAGTGATAATGCTCCATTGACAACTACTTTCGGAGATCGGTCAGTTAGCCAGTTCTTTCTTAATACATGTAACATGTGCTTTATTGATATTGTAAGGTGTAGTCTCTCTTTCTCTCTGACCCAAATGACTGTTCCACCGTGGATAAATTCTTAAGTAACCATTGGGCTAGAGAGAGAAAGGACACGATAGTGAGACTGACTTTGTAGTCTAGTGGCTAGGGCACCCACATGGGAGGTGGGAGACCCTGGCTCCAGTCCCCTGGCTCCAATTATTCTTTCATTAGCAAAAGGAGAGAGTGAGGGAACCCCAACATCAGAATATGCCTTAGCCCAGTGATGGGAGCCCTGCCCACTCCTGAGAGGTGGACAACCCCTGTTCAAATCCTTTCTCCCTGGTGGGCAGGGGGAGTTGAACCTGGATCTCCCATGTCCCAGGCAAGTGTTCTAACCAGTGGACTAAAAATTATGAAGTGGCGTATGCTGCCTCCTTTGGCTGTTTTGTGTGAAGTGAGGCAGGTGCCTAACTTATTCCCAAGAGAAGTAGATCAAGCACCTAAGCCTCCTCACAGCAGGTGGTGGGTTCCCATTCATGGGTCACAAGCAGAGCTGACACCTCCCTGTAGCCCAGACATAGCCGCCCAGCTCAGTGGGAGGAATGGGATTTAGCACACACCCCTCTCCTCGACATCTCCCATTGGCTACCTTAGGTGTCTCCGCATGGAGCATGTTGGCTTTTGTGGCCTGTGCTATAAGGCACCTACCTCTCCCTATTCATTGTATAGGAGCCTACGCACTGAACTCAGCTTTGTGGATCACACTATGAGTCTGTGATTTTTCAGGCACTAAAAGTGAGGTGTCACGACACTTAGCATTGCAACACCTGAGTCCCTTTGTGGATCCGTGCATAAGTATATTACATCTACGCAGTTACCTTGATCAACCCAATTTCATCAAAGAATGAAATCCAGTTTGTTTGACAAGACCTATTTTTCATAAAACCATGTTGACTGCCATTAATTATTTTCCAATCCTTTAATTCTTAATCAATTGAATCCTGTCTCAGATTTTCTGTTAATTTGCTTGGGATTGATGTCCGGCTCTGTGCTCACACTTCGCCCTTTTTGATCATTAGTACTCTTCCATCTCTTCTAGAATTTCCCTGGTATTCCAAAATGTATTAAAAATTAACATCAGCAGGTGAGAGATCTCCCCACCATCTGTTTTAGAACTCTTGTTTACCAGTTATCCACATCTGCTGACTTATAAATATTTATCCCTAGTAGATGTTCTCTAACATTCTTCTCAGTTACTAATGGACTGGAAAGTTTTCAAATATTTTGGGAAAAACTGGTTTATTGGAAGAAAATTAGCTTTGTTTTCTACTAGGTGCAGCAAGAGGACGGAGAGAGCTCAGCAGGCCTTGCTGAGAGGATAGTGTCTGTAATCCCTGCAAGGCTGAAGAGCTGGGAGAAAAATAAATAAAACGAAACAAAAAAACAGGTGCTGCCCTGGTAGCAGTGCAAGAGTGCAACCATGTCGGAGCCACATTGGCAGGAATAGTGGAGGAGGAGGATCCGGGCAGAGGGCAACCTTGGGGTGGAGGAAACTGAAAGGGAAGGGAGAAAAAGAAAACTGGTGGCACTGGGAGTGGAAGAAAGAGATGCCATCGGGAGCAGAGGTACTGTGAGGAAGTCTCTCTCTAGCAGGCGAGCTGGGGGACAGCACCTGATCATCGCTTCTGAGGAAGATATTTGGGAGACCGGGACCTTCTCTTCACTTACTCCAACCCTGAGTGTTTCTGTTCTGTACAGTAATAAACAATGAGATATCAGCACCAGACTTGAGTAGAATGGGAAGGGAGAGGAATTATCTTTATTGCCATTACTGGTAATGAGTTAGCATTGAAATGTATGTATACTCGAACATTGTGGGGTGCTAGCCACAACTGAAACAGTCACATCTTTCTGGTCTCTCTCTCTCTCATTTACAGATGGTAATTACATTGAAGGTACAGTCTGATCAGTTGGGAGAACAAGACCACAAGAGACTTCAAATGGTCATGCACTGACAGATGAGACAATATAGACTGGAGCAATAAAAAATATTTGCAAAACAAATGAAAGATCACATCTCTCCATGATGACCCCTCTGTTGTAAATATAGAAAAAGAGGCAAGGGTTAAAGCATTATCTAAAAAGCAATTTGGCAAGAAGAACATATGGCCAAGTAGGTAGGTGTTAAACACACAGAGAGATAATTGTAAATTGTCTCATGCTGCATCCCTGCTTCTGCCCCTTTGGGCGCCTTTCATCTCTATAGGTCATGTCAGCACCAGCCTTGAGCTGCGAGCAGTGCAGAGTCTTCCCACCACATGAAGCATTGGGGAGCATCCTGCTCTAGGGAGGTAGAAAGGCACTCAGAGGTCACAGGTGTGCAGCGGGGGTGTCAATTTGTTAGTCTCTAAAATGCCACAAGTACTCCTGTTCTTTTTGTGTATACCCACTGATATACCCCTTCCCCAAATTTGGGGTGGTTGGATCCAGGGTTTTTGGTTTGGGACCATATCTATGCACAGCCACGATGTAAGATCCTCCTCTGTTCTGAGGCCTCTGAACAAGCATTATAGTGTGGATTAAAGATAGAATGTTCGCTTGGATCCTACAGTCCCTTGGATCTGTGAGGAATTTAGGTCCAAAAATGTAGCTTCTGTAAAGATTAGAACACAATAAAATAAAAAAGGGATGACGATTTACAAACCCTGAGCTGAACAAAAATATTCTCATGATTTCTCTCTCTTTTTTAAATTTCAGTGCAATTGTAGAGTGGATTTAAACATTGCCTTGCAATGCAATGTGGCGCTAGTGCCAGAAAGTGAAAGTGACTATAAACAGAAAGTGAATCTGGCCTAGCTAGACATTTATGCCCTGCTCATCGTTATGGTATCTGAGCACTGTTATCCTGGCTAGTGAAATTGGCCACGTGGTTGGGAAATACAGAAAGCAAACAAACAATGTAAGTGTTGAAGACTCTCAGATATTTAAATCTCTTTCATCTTTAATACTCTACAATGAGCTCCATGAAGGCATCAGGATCTGCCTGTGCCGAGTTCATTGCAAGATTCATTCCAAGGTTCATTGCAGAGCCTAGGAGTATAACTCCTAACATGAGTAAGAGAGTGACTTTTAGTGATCTTAGCAGTGTACATTTAAGTAAGAACCTTAGGCCTTGGTACTAGGGTTGCCAGGCATCCAGTTTTTGACCCTTGGGCAAAAAGGGTTCCTGGTAGCTCTGGTCAGCACCACTAACCAGGCCGTTAAAAGTACAGTCGGCGGCGCAGTGGGTCTAAGGCAGGCTCCCTGCCTGCCCTGGTTCTGCACAGCTCCTGGAAGTGGCCGGCATGTCCCTGCGGCCCCTAGACAGAGGGGTGATCAGGGAAGCTCTACATGCTGCCCCACCCACAGCACTGGCTCCACAGCTCTCATTGTCCAGCAGCCACGGCCAATGGGAGCTGAGGGAACAGTGCTTGCAGGCACAGGCAGCGCGCAGAGCCCCTGGCCCCTCCGCCTAGGGGCTGCAGGAACTTGCTGGCCACTTCCGGGAGCTGCGTGGAACCAGGGCAGGCAGGGAGCCTGCCTTAGCCCGCTGCACTGCCAACCATAAGCTGCCTGAGGTAAGTGCCACCCGGCCAGCCCCTGCACCCCGATCCCCCTCCCACACCCTAACTCCCTCCCAGAGCCTGCACCCCAACCCCCTGCTCCAGCCCTGCACCCCCTGCACCCTAACTCCCTCCCAGAGCCCACACCCCAACCCCCGCTCCAGCCCTGCACCCCTCCAACACCCTAACTCCCTCCCAGAGCCCACACCCCTGTCCCAGCCCTGAGCCCCCTCCTGGAGCCTGCACCCCACACCTCCTCCTGCACCCCACATCCCCTGCCCCAGCCCTGAGCCCCCTCCTGCACTCCAACTCCCTGCCCCAGCCTGGAGCCCCCTCCTTCATCCTGAACCCCTCATTTCTGGCCCCACGCCAGAGCCCGCACCCCCAGCCAGAGCCCTCACCCCCTCCCACATCCCAACCCCTTGAGACAGCCCAGTGAAAGTGAGTGAGGGTGGGGAAAAGCGAGCGATGGTAGGAGGAGGGATAGAGTGAGTGGAGGCGGGGCTTCTTAGAAGGGGCAGGGCAGGGGCGGGGTCTCAGAGTAGGGGTGGGGTGTTCGGTTTTGTGCGATTAGAAAGTTGGTAACCCTACTTGGCACTGCCAAGACTTACACATGCTATAAGTAGTCCACTAAATTCAGTGGGACTGCTCATGTGCCTAAAGTTAAGCATATACATAATTCCTTGCAAGATTGGGCTTAGAGGCCTTACCTAAAGGTATATTTAAAAGTAACTTCCTCACCCTTGTCTCCCTGGTTGTTGGGACCAATTTCTTTTTAGTTTTGTAATTTCCCTTTTTTTATGATAGTAGGAACAAAACAAACATAAGAAATTTAAAAAATAAAAACCCTGCCAGAAACATCATTTGAATGCACTATAATGAGACTTGTCATTCACGTCAGTATCGACATGACAATGCCCAGATAATAGCACTGATACTTATCAGCTGTGCTGCACTGCAAAACACTCTTTGTTATTCTCTCAGCAGAGCTGCTTCTATATTATGACTCACCCTTTTATACACTGAAAAATGAAATCCTTGCAAATCAATACACAATAAGGGAGCTGCAGTTATTAAGTAGAGTCCAGCTAAATGGGGCCCAAGGTAGAATACCTGATCCCACATCTGTCGTTTGGGGTCTGTTTGGATCCTGATCTCAATGTCCTGACTAAGACCTGACTGGGCTGGAATGGAGCATCAAGCCCCACCACCAACAGCCTTTGGGGAAATTCAAGTCAGGCTCAATATATAAATGTCAGGACTCAGGCTTAGCTCTAATTCAAACACAGTATGTTGATCAAAATAAATGAAACAAAACAAGTCTTGACCTCACTCACCAGAAGACCTTCCTGCTAGGGGGAAGGAGAAAGGAAGCTACAGAGGACTCTGTGAGCTAGAAAAAGGGAAGTGGAGAGGGAGGGAGACATTGAAGCCGTCTCAGGTGACATAAGCAGCAAGGGAAAACATAGGGATTCTGGACTGAGGAGTAGTGCTATTGATATGAGCTACCCCAATGTGTGTCCTGATCCTGTGATCTTCCCAGCTGACTTTGGGCACAGGTCAATGTGTGAGTCTTTTAAACAAAATAGAATGTGTACCTATTTTGTTTATAGAGTTAAAAGTAACCAAACAGAAGTTGTAAGAATGAAGAGATGTGTAATGGAGTCAGGCTGGTGGCCCCCAGTGGCTATGACCACTGGGACTACACATGCAGGTGTGCCCTCTTTTGCTGTTACCATATTCTGCTCCCCACCCTTGTTTCCATTTTTCTCCATTTATTGTGTCTTGTCATATTCCTGGACTGTGAGCACTCTGGGGCAGGGATTGCCTTTGTTACACTTGTGTGTACAGCATGTAGCACTTTGGGACCTTGACCCCTGACTAAGACCTCTAGACACTACCACCACCACAACAATAATAATAGCAGAAAGGAAGTGGCAGTGCAGTATGAGTTTTGGGTGCAGTGACATGTGTGACATAATTCTGCATGAGGCTGCTCCTTTCAGTAAGCCAAGTATAGATGACGCTGTAAAAAAAGCCAGAGGTAGAGGGCCCAAGCCTGAGAATGACTCTGCAGCCTGGTGGTTGGAGCATGCCCCTACGATGTGGGCAACCCAGCATCTAGTTCCCCTGCTCCAGTGACTCATTCACTACTTAACCACAGTGGCACAGCTTCAAGAGGAGGGACTGAGGGAGCCCCCCATAAGAACATCCCACAATCCAGTGATCAGGGCACTTATCTGAGAGGTGGTAGATCCCTGTTCAAATCCTTTCTCCCCTTCAGGTGGAAGGGAGACCTGAACTGGGGGGCCCCCACATCGCAAGTGAGTACCCTAACCACTGGGCTCACAGTAATGAGGGAGCCCCTTCCTCCCAGCTGTTTTGTGTGAAGTCGCATGCAGGGCCTGCTGGATCAGGTCGCACACGTGAGTTAGGTGGACGAATGACTATCTTCCCTGGTTGATGAATCACTTGGAGGCTTAGGCAGGAGATAGGCGGCCAGATACTTAGAAGGAGGCAGTTGTGCACTTGTCCAGAAGCAGCAATGTAGGAGCCAAGGGAAATTTTTACTGTGAAAACTTAGGCACTGAGTGAGTTTAGGCATCTACAGGTTTTGGTAAGACTTTTGTGAATCGCAGTGGAGCCAGGATTGGTATTTAGGTCCCTAAACCCAAATGTAGGCACCTGAATCAGGGGCTTATGCACCTAAGTACTTTTGTGAATCTAGACCTTAATCTCCCAGTGCATCAGTTCCCCATCTGTAAAATGGACATAATAATATTATATGTACAGTGTCTAGCACAATTGAGCCCTAGTCTTGGCTGGCCCCTCGAAGCACTACTGTAATATTGATAATAAATAATAATCTTCCACCTTCCCTAGACCACAGTTATAATTCAAGGATATATTAAGGAATTTTATTTGATTTCTAGGATAGCTAAACCCTAATCTTGTGAACTCGATGAGATTGAACTGCCCTAGGTCACAACAGTTATTTTTCTCTTTGAAGTCACAGTCACGTGCCAGCAAAGGAAAAATGCTATTGGTAGTGAAATAAACTCCCTCTGGAGAGACAGATCACTGACAACTTCTGTTATTTTATGGACGTTACATCAAGCTGAGCCTTTGCCATCTGCTCTGCCCCCTAATTGTAAATGCAAAAAGAACAAATCACAGGAACATCTAGAAAATAAAAATGATTTAACTGCCTGTATATGTCCCTCCAAAAATGCAGCCTGCACCAAAGATGTTCTTTCTCATGATTCAGACACAAATCAGAAGGAAAAGTGTTCAGACCAGATACAGTAAATTTCCTGCCTACTGAAGTTTTCTTGAACAAACCGGACTCCAGAAGATGGTTTAACTGTATTTATATTAAAATATGTGAGTTTTATGTAAAGAGCATCTCTAAATATCTGGCATGCCCTTTGCAGCTTAAGCAATAAGGCACAACCGAATGTGAATTATTTAAGGGATAATGCTCATGGCAGAGGAATCTATGAGGCAATAAATGGCTTTTGCAGGTGACTGAATGCCAAAGCAAGCTGTGAAATGTTTGATAAGCAGAAAAGCCATTCATTGCAAATATGCCCCAATGCCATGGGAAGTTCTCTTATTCAATTAGAAGAAAGAAAGAAAGAAAGAAAGAAAGAAAGAAAGAAAGAAAGAAAGAAAGAAAGAAAGATTCAACAAATGACAATATCAAGAATGTATTTTTTTTTTACCTAGTAAGGATTTGAAAAATCTGTGCTACTG